AAATGCGTTGACTGAAAAAAAAAAATGGTAGCACAGACAACCGGAAGCATTCTGTGCGCTCACTGAATAATTCTCAACATGGCGTCGTTTCGCGTATCGTGGGACTAGCGGATGGCAGCGGACGACGGGCGTTGGACTTCTACTTCAGAACTGTCGTTCACGGTACGGGCGAATTCTGTCTTCCTTCGAAAGATAAATTTTGGACCGATAAAAAAAAAACTGATAATCATCCCGTACGATATGCCCAAGCAGCAAGCCGATTGCACGAAGACGTCGCCAAGCCGTCGTCCCTTCTCGTGGCTGAAGACATCGCTCGCTCAAACGTCAAGCACGAAGTGCGTACTTCGAGTTGAATACGCACGCGTACGGTGTCTTTACGAGGTGCGAATGTGGCATATGCGTGGTGCTGCCCGACTTCAAGCCGCGGGTGCATGTATTAAAGGGAAATCGGAATCAAACTTCCGAGATACAGTCTACCCGCCGAATTACTACGCATGATCGAGTTCCATCAGTAGCTGACCAATGAAGAAAAATAAATTCAGTAGCTGCGTGGAAAGACGTCCGCTTCACGCGCAGATAGCACGGGTTCGATCCCTAGTATAAGTGTACCTTTTTTTTGTCAAGCATTTTGCGCTGTTTACATTTATTTTACAGCGCAGCTCTTAGGCGCCCGTTTCCGGCTTGAGCCGCGTCGCCGTCGCCGTCGGCGTAACCAAGGTCAACCCAAGGTCACGTGATGTCCAAAGTCACCCCAAGGTCACGCGCCACCCCAGAGTCACGTGACCCCTCCCAAGGTCACCCCAAGGTGACGTGACCCCCCAGGTCACGTGACCCCCAGGTCACGTGACCCCCGGAGGTCACTTGACCTCCCGAAGTCACGTGACTCCCCTGAGGTCACCTGACCCCCGATGACGTGATCGTCACTGATGACGTCACCGGCATCCGCATCGTCAAAGTCATCATCACTAATGACGTCATCAGTGACGTCAATGATGACGTCACCGACATCTGCATCGTCATCGTCATCATCACTGATGACGTCATCAGTGACGTCACTGATGTCGTCACCGGCATCCGCATCGTCACCATCATCATCACAGATGACGTCACCGACATCCGCATCGTCATCGTCATCATCACTGGTGACGTCATCAGTGACGTCACTAATGACGACATCGGTATCCGCATCGTCATCGTCACTGATGACGTCATCAGTGACGTCACTGATGACATCATCGGCATTGTTATCGTCACGTGACCTCCAGGTCACGTGACCCCCAAGTCACGTGACCCCCCCCCTCCGGTCAGTTGACCCCCCCAGTACCCTTCCCTCCTCCTCCTCAAGAGCTGCACTCTAGTTCGGCGTTACAGGGAGTTGTAAACGGCTTTCACTTCTAGAGCGCAGCTCTTAGGGGCCCGTTCCCGGGTTGAGCGGTGCACCGTCGGCGCCGGCGTCGACGTCGGCGTAACCAAGGTGACCCCAAGGTCATGTGACCCCCAAGGTCATCCACGGTCACGTGACCACCAAGGTCATCCCAAGGTCACGTAACCCCCAAGGTCACCCCAAGGTCACATGACCGCCAAGATCACGTGATACCCAAAGTCACGCGACTCCCGGTCACGTGACCCCCCCGGGTTACCTGACAACCCTGAGGTCACGTGACAACCCCGAGGTCACGTGACCTCATGGTGGTCACGTGACCCCCCTCAGGGGCACGTGAACCCCTCCTCCGAGGTCACGTGACCCCCTCCCCCGAGGTTACGTGACGCCCCCCGATGACGTCATCAGTGACGTCACTGATGACGTCACCGGCATCTGTATCGTCATCGTTGTCATCACTGATGACGTCATCGGTATCCGCATCGTTATCGTCACCAATGACGTCATCAGTGACGTCACTGATGACGTCATCGACATCGTCACGTGACCCACCCCCAGTACCCTTCCCTCCTCCTCAAGAGCTGCGCTCAATTTCGGCGTTACAGGGAGTTGTAAACGGCTTTTCCTTTTTTTTTACAATTATCACTGAAAAAACAATTGTTGTGGACGATACGTCGCTGAACTAAATGGTATGGGATTCCATATTTGACACCTGCGAACTCAATGAAGTCACTTTCCACAAAATGCAAGGAGCATAATAATCGGGTAGCGTCCGTTTTCCGAGCGTCGCGTAACTGTTCTACAGGAATCGCAGCCAGCCATTAATCCCGACCCGATGATCTTTCGGAAACTTGTGCACACTGCCGCACAATGCCACTTTCACATGCAGGACATGTGAGGCAACTCTTCACGCAACATCTTGGGAGTATTCTTTTCGGAGCCGATCACGGGAAGTCACCACGGCACCACTCACTACTAATTGCCAATACTTAAATGTACAAAACAACTCATCTTGATCTACAGAACAGCGAGTGGAACAAACATAACTCCAAAGGAATCGCACGGCGAACGAACGCATTTCGACTGCTACGCGCGGAAAAAAAAACAAAGAAAAACCCGCACGGTCGGGTGTAGCCACGTGACTTCCGCCACTCACTCTTTCCTCTCCACTTCTTCGTGCGGTGCGGGAGTTTCGGTTTCGGTTTCAAGCAGTTGCGTTTCTTGACTTTATTAAAAAATACGTGACTCTGTAGCAAAATATTAATTGGGTAGTGTTCCGACAACCATAATAAATCACCTGACAAAAAGGAAAAAAAATTGGGGGGTGTCAGTGTCCCTTTAAGAGCGGAGCAAGTTTGTTTTCAAGATCAGCAGTCAACATTAATTACACAGCTCACATAGAAATTTACTGCTATTGTTCTACTAGTTAAGCTGGGTAACCTTAAATGAAGTTACCCATTTGGGCAGTGATGTTGTTCTAACATAGAACTAGACTTTCCCCACCATCACATAATGCAATGCTCTTGCCACCGTAAGAGATATGAATAGCCAGGTTTACCTTGCAATACAATCTCTACGCACTGTGCCGGGTGTCGTTGCAGATGAACATATTGTGTGAGAAGTGTGCTCAGCGCTTCATTTTGAGATGATATTAATTATAAATTTGAACAGCTTCGGATGCAGCCGCCACTCACTTACTTCTCATAACATTGGTCTATATTTGCCATGTATTTGAGCCATTATATATACTGCTGTATCGCCGTACGGCTGCGTCACCGCAACCAGGAGCGGCGCGTTCCAGCGCATGCCCGTGCCGGACATACGTCACCGGCGCGGGAGGTAAAAAGAGAGCGCTTGCCAATAAACGACGTTTTTCATGTCCCGGCCACCGGCGAGTCTGGTCGACGTTTTAGTGGCGACGAGGGTGAACCGATATGGCGGCACGCCCGCCGCAGTTCGACGAGACGGCAGGCACCTGGGGCACATACCGGGTCCGGTTGGAGGCGTACTTCGAGGGTCACGGTATCACGGACGCGGCGAAACGTCGCGCGTTGCTGGTGTCTTCCCTAAGTGACAACGTGGTCCGAATTCTGCAAGGCCGCCGTCAATCGGCGTCCATCAACAGCCTGTCCTACGCAGACGTGGTTGGCTACCTAGAAGAACACTACGACGCGCAAGCCAACGAGATTGCAGCTAGCTACTTGTTCTTCGTGCAGAAACAGGAAGAGGGGGAGAAAGTAGAAGACTTTGTGGCAGAGTTGCGGCGGCTCGCGAAGCATTGCAAGTTCGGCGACACCCTGGACCGGATGCTGCGAGACCGAATCGTCTGCGGCATACGGGATGACGAAGCGCGACGGGTTTTGCTGACGCGTAAAAAGTTGAGCCGGGAAGAGGCGGAGGAATTCGTAATCGTGTCTGAGATGGCCAATAACAACGTCAGGGCAATGGGAACGGCCCCCCAGGACTCAGCCGGCGGTACGCATTTCGTCCAAGGTCGGCGGGGTAACCGGAGGCCCCCAAGACAAGAAACCAGCGGTGCGAATCGACGCGCCTGGTGCTGGAGGTGCGACGCGAACCACTCCGAGGACGACTGGCGGCACCGCAAGACCATATGCCACAGGTGCGGCACCAAGGGACATCTGGCGAGGGTGTGCAAGTACAGTCGGCCCAGCCAGCCAGGTGCGTACGCGCTGGCGGACATTCACAAGGCCGTAGTTTTTGGCTTTTAATAAAGTTGTTCTCCTCCTCCTCAACACCGAGGAAGAGAGTGGCGAGGAAATGCTTCACGCCCTGGTGGCTCACAGTACAGCCAACAAAGACACGACGCCGCCGATAGAGCGGGATTTGCTATGGGAAGGCAGGAACCTGCGAATGATTCTGGATACGGGCTCCCCAGTCAGCGTAATTCCCGAGAGCGGTTTCAAAAGACACCGTAAACGGTGGCCGGCCCTGGAAACGACCCCCCTACGCTTGTCGTGCTTCCTGGGGCCGCTGCCCGTTGTCGGCAAGATCACCATGAGACGCAGGTGCGCAGCTCGTTGATAGTGGTGAACTGCCCAGGGCCGCTGCTTTGCGGTAGGAATAAGCTGCGGGCGTTTTACGACGCAGGGGCACCGCTTCTAGAAACTGGGGCACCGCTTGGGGTGAACATGGTGCAGGCCGGCGCAGAGGGGCAGGACCTACTGGAAGAATTTGCAGACGTTTTCGAAGAGAAGCTGGGGTGCTGCCAGGGCCCACCAGTAAAGCTGTACAGGAAGGAAGATGCGCGACCCCGTTTTTGTAAGGCGAGGCCGGTGCCCTACGCGCTTCGCGACAAGGTGTCGGCGGAAATCAACCGCCTGGAGAAGGACGGCGTGCTCTCGCCGGTCAGCGTGTCGGAGTGGGCTACACCTGTTGTTCCGGTGGCAAAGAAAAACGGCGAGATACGACTGTGCGGGGATTTTAAGTTGACGGTAAATCCAGCTACACACCTGGAGCGATACCCCTTGCCTAAAATTGACGACATTTTTGCGGCGTTATATGGGGGGGAACTCTTCACCACGCTGGACTTACGCAACGCGTACAATCAGCTTCCTCTTCACGAAGAGGCTCGAAAGATGTCTGTGCTGAACACGCACCAAGGCTTGTACTGTTACAATCGTCTGGCCTTCGGCATTGCGTCCGCACCGGCTCTGTTTCAACGGCGCATCGAGTCCCTCCTGCAAGGGCTCCCAAGGGTGCAAGTCTACTTGGATGACATCGTCATCGCAGAAAAGAAACACGACACGTCGACACTCCGGCAGGTGCTGCAGCGGCTACGGGAAAACGGCCTGAAGTTAAACCGAGCCAAGTGCCGTATCCGGGAGAAGCAAGTGTCCTTTTTGGGCCACAGAATCGATGCCCAAGGTCTTCATCCGGAGCGGACCAACCTCGAGGCAGTGACCGAAGCTCCAAGACCGACCTCGGTAAGCCAGCTCAAGTCTTTTCTTGGGTTTGTCACCTATTACGCCAAATTTTTGCCCAACTTGTCAACCACCTTGGCCCCTTTGTATAGATTATTGGCAAAAGGAGCGCAATGGCAGTGGGACGGGGATCAGGAAAGGGCTTTCCGGAAGACTAAGCAGGCTATGGCCGAAGCTAAGTTCGTGGTTCACTACAACCCCCGGCAACAGTTACGGCTAGAATGCGACGCTTCGCCAGACGGCTTGGGTGCAGTGTTGTCACATCGCATGCATGGGAAAGACTACCCCATAGCGTTCCGGTCGAGAACGCTGACGAAGGCAGAGCGTAATTATTCACAGCTCGAGAAGGAGGCGTTGGCGCTGGTTTTTGGAGTGACCAAGTTTCGAGATTATCTGTTCGGCAACCGCTTTACGCTCGTCACAGACCACAAGCCGCTGACAGCGCTGTTCCACCCTGAAAGAGCAATTCCACAAATGGCGGCGGCTAGAGTACAGCGTTGGGCGTTACTACTCGCAGCCTACCAGTACGATCTCGAGTACCGAAAAGGAAACCACAATGGGAATGCAGACGCTCTTAGTCGTCTCCCGTTGCCGGCGCAGGAGGAGGGCAGCAGTGAACTGCTCACTGAATATGTGCTGTACACGCGGGGGTGGGACGACCAACCTATGTCCGCCCAGCAGATGGCCACCCTGACTACGCGGGACAGCCTGCTTCGCCAAGTAAAAGCCTGGATTTACGCCGGATGGCCGTCGCACCTGCGCCCGGAGCAGCACCAGTTCCTACCGTACTTCAGCCGCAGGTATGAACTCACAGTGAGCCACGACCTGGTTTACTGGGGGCATCGCGTAGTTCTACCGGAAGCTGCGCGAGCGTTCATGCTGACGGAACTGCATGATACCCACCCGGGAGTGACTGCGATGAAGCGTCTGGCTCGCTCCCTCTATTGGTATCCTGGTCTAGACAAAGATATCGAAAAGCTGGTAAATAACTGCTCGACATGTATACAGTGTTGGACGATGCCCGCGGCACAGGTTCCTTCCAAGTGGCCGGAGACCCACCAACGGTGGTCCCGTTTGCACGTGGATTTCGCGGGGCCACTGGAAGGGTACATGGTTCTAGTACTAGTGAACTCGGAAACAAAGTGGATTGAAGCCATACCACTCAAAACAGCTTCGGCCGAGACTACAATTGGAGTGCTCCGAGAACTGTTTGCGCGTTTCGGAGTGCCACGAACAGTGGTTTCCGATAATGGGCCGCAATTTTCAAGTGCAGCGATGGCACGATTTTTACAAGGGAACCACATACGTCATTTCACCACTGCGCCCTACCACCCTCAGTCGAACGGGTTAGCCGAACGGGCAGTACGCACGATCAAGGAGGGGCTAAAGAAGAACAGGGAAGGCTCGTTGCAAGATCGTATTTCCAGGTTCTTGTGTCGTTACAGATCTACCCCTATGAAAGAGGGCAAGTCGCCAGCCGAGTTGTTGTTAGGCTTCAGGCCCAGGACAAGGCTAACCGGCTTCTTCTCGAGGGGCGAGGAAGCGCAGCACAGCGTGGTCGAGCCGCAAGCCCCGGCCACGACACCACCGCCATTTTCGCCAGGAATGCCGGTCTGGTCACGCCAGTTCCAGCCGAGGCGGAGATGGCTACCGGGAACTGTGGTCTCCAGTGAGGGTCGGCGCATGGTCACGCTACGCACACCGGACGGCCAACAGAGACGGCACCTGGACCAGCTGCGACCTCGAGACGCTTCAGGGTCCCCGGAAGGCGCTGACAAGGCACGTCGAGTCACCGGCCGGTCGGAGGTGGGAGCAAGCCCGCCCAGCACCGACGAAAGAGAGGTCGCCACCAACGGCGATCCCGAGGTGACGCCCACAGCAGACCCGGTTCCTCTCAGGCGCTCTACGCGCCTGCGGAAGCCGCCGGACCGTTTGAACTTATAGGGGGGAGGGGATGCTGTATCGCCGTACGGCTGCGTCACCGCAACCAGGAGCGGCGCGTTCCAGCGCATGCCCGTGCCGGACATACGTCACCGGCGCGGGAGGTAAAAAGAGAGCGCTTGCCAATAAACGACGTTTTTCATGTCCCGGCCACCGGCGAGTCTGGTCGACGTTTCAATATATACAGTGAGCCGTCAGTTCTCCTAATAAAATATGACAAGAAACTAACCATGTCTCATTTCAAGTTTCATATAGACATTGTTTTATGTAACTATAGCCAGCGCAGTTAAGCTATGCTCGAGTTATAAGTGAAGCTAGGTTAGGTTATGTTTTAACACAATAGCGTTAAGGCTCCCGTGCACCAAAAGATCCGGCGACCTGCGTCGGCGTGTCGAGAAAATCCCACAATGACTTTCGTGCATAGGGAATCCCATGCAATTCCATGATTCCTTCTGTATGCTACGAATCATATAGGATTCCGCTCACCACCGCTCCCATCTCATTCCCCACTGCTGCCATCTCTGTCCCGGCCCCCACCTCCCCTCCCCTTCTCCGCCCCCTGCCCTCCTGCTATTGCGTCATATGCTAAGGCTCAGCATAAGTGTCCCCCCGTTTTTTTCCACAAATGCAATTGGGCATTTATCTATTGCCATACTTACCCAATTTAGACGCAAGTTTCATTGCTTGTTGCTGCTGAAACCTTCCTGGTACCAAGACCTTGTGTTGAACGAGCCCAGCCCCCAGTTGCGTGCCTTGTTCCCGTTAGCATATATATATATATATATATATATAGTCCGAGATCTGTACTTGCGGAGTTGCTATGCTAGGAGTTTATTATATGTATTACTACAGTTTCGCCGAGAAGCTCGGCGTCGTCAGGAGATGGCATACATATGAGGGCACCAGACTGCACAGAGCAGTAAGCGGCCAATGGGGCGAGAAGGGCGTGACGTCAGGAAAAATAAAAGTAAAAAGACTTATGAAAAAAAGCAAACAGCGTGGCAAGACTGTGATACAAGCATGTCTAGGTCTGCAGAAGTTTTTTCACGCAATTGGTTATTTTAATTTTATAAACAGTTGCAAATAGAAGAAACTAACTCTAACCAATGAAGAAGTTAATAACTTACTTTTTTGTACTCTATTAACTGGAATGACCAATCGGTGATGCCCTTAATTCATCCCTTAGCCATCACCATCCAATCCGAAGCCAACTGGCTAGCATGCCGCACATGCGAATAGCAGTTGAACCTGAGTCGAACCTTTTTCTAACTTTTCGCAAGAAGTTAGAAAAAGTCGAACCTGGTCGAACTCAAACTTCGGCCAGTTCGCGACACCCCTACAAGAAAGGTCTTGCTGGCTGAACGGTTGATTGGAGATGCAAAGCGATTGCGTCGTGCTAGACACGATTTGATAGATGCTTCTCGACGCAGATTAATACCAGAATTTGCATCGTGTCAGCCCGGCAAAGTTCCTCATACCAACTTTTTTGGTATGAGAAATGGAATGAAAGAATGTTTTGTGGCAATAGTTGGGGTCATTTTTCTTTAAAAGTCTTACTTCAATCTTTCAGAAAGGCACAAGCATTGAAGAACAGCTGCCTTCACAATCATGCCCCCCCCTTTCCTGGTAGTTGCTGTCGGTGAGCAACCTGATAGCCTTTGGCTTTTCTACCTTTCTAATAGAAATGAATGGTTCTTCTACACGTGAAAAAGTGAAAAGTATGCTACTGCCATGTTTTTCAGTTTTGTAACCCTTTATTTCCTCAGACCAAAAATTTTTCTTCAGCTTGGTTCAGATGCCCAATACATTCATGGAATATTGCGTCCAGAAATTTCTATAGTGCGTTGTGTGTATGTTTGGGGCGGGGGGGGGGGGGGGGGAGGTTTACTCCGCTGGTCCATTTGGTAGACAGGGCGTTGTGAGAAAGATAAGTGTAGATAAAATACCACTGTAAGTTTTATTATGAAAACCTTTTAATACGGGACTGATGAAAAAATGAGAATATGAAACAATATGACGTCCTGTCTTCCTCTTTCTTGTTACTTTCTGTAACTTAGTCTTGTAACTTAGAATCATTTACTACTACATAAGATTTAATGACATGGAAGGAACTGGAGCTCCTTAAACCCTTAAAAAACACATGCAAAGGAAAAAAAAATTTTTGAACAATCTAGATGGAAAAAGATTGTTATATAAGGAATTTACAACGAAAAAATACAATTTTAGAGCTGTATTTATAGCGCAAAACGAATTTGTAGTTGGCGCCCGTGAGAGCCGCCGCTGGTCACGTGTTAGACCTGTGCACCGCCGCGCTGTGTCGCCGAAGCTGCAAAGTCACGCCACCTCCGCATGCTGAGCATTGTGCGCCGCCGCTCCAATGCATTTCTCCACGGCCGTGCCACCGTCGCCGTGCAAGTTTGTGTGCTCTGGGGTGCCGCCGCCGTCATCTTGTGGTGCACAGGTTTATCACGTCTGCTTGCGCTTTTTCAGGAGCTTCCTTTGGGCTCTAAAAGTAACTCATTAATCTTTGTTTCTTATTGCACTTCAAACGAAGATGACTAAGTAACTTTTCGAGACCATAGAAAGCTTCCGAAAGAGTGCAAGTACCATGTGACAAATAGCGTCCAATCACGTGATAAATGTGGGCCACTTCTCCGCGGCGCCCGCGGGCGCCAACTACAAATTCATTTAGCGCCGTAAATATAGCTCTAAAAGTTTTTCTTTTTCGTTGCAAATGTGTTTTATGACTTCCTTTTCCTAACCCGGCTGTACAAAAAAAAAAGTTTGTTTCCTTTGCATGTGTCCTTTAACCGTTTTAAACTAGCCTAGCTTATCCACCTAGAGCCGTCCCCTAGGCGTTTAGGAGGAGTGTAGCACGTCCGCGCACCCTACCTTGCCCCTTGGCTGTTTGGGACGTCCCAGGCCTGTTCCGAGCTTAGTTTCTGGTGCAGCTGAGAGATGGCAGCACACATTTTTTTATTGTACACGTTTGTAAGGATGGCGACCGATTGTGGAGGCACGTGCGGCCCAAGCCGCACAGGCTTTAAAAAAGGAAAAAAAAAATTTAGGATCAAAAACTGAAGAACAAAAACCGGTTAAGTGGTTAAGGTGAATAATGTGCGACATCATTATGCAGTTTCCTCGTTTCTTCGAGAACATCTAATTGGATACAAAACACACGTTCATGACGTGCAGGCAACGTCAACAGAAATGTTAAGTGAGTGCAGACTCCGCAGTCCACTTATGGCTGATTTACACGACGTGCTAATCCGCGGATGGGTTTATCACGTGACAAGACGTCCACGGAACGTTAGTCCCCCAAGCGCATCCACACAAAGGAGACGAGCAGGCGACAGCAAGGACATACTGAACCTTTTCGCAGCCCTGCAATTTTGCAAAACGCCAACATCGCAGTGTGGCACTGTTTTCCAAGAGCAGAAGTGATGTTACGACTAGGATCACGGTGCTATCATTAAAAGGAATCGTTGTGCGCCGCTGTTACATACCAAGTGAGCCAAAACATAGTGGCAGGCTTAGCGCGAAGTGTCACTTTACTAACGACATGACACAAGTATAATCCTCCTTCAGGAGGCTTCAGCATCATAGCGATGAAGTCCTGGGTTCGTGGAGAGGCATTTGGAAAGGCTTTTACACACTGCTCGCTCGTACACCACTCTTCAGCACACTACAGCCATAAGAAAGGTCTTGCTGGATGGAAAACTAGGTGGATGTGCATTAAAAATTGCAGCGTGCTAGGCGAGTCTTGACAAGCTTCTTGACACCAACCCGGAGGAGTACCATGCGGCGTGTCAGCCGGGCAAAGTTCTTGCAGCTTCTTTCACGCGTGGAGATTTAAGAGTGGCGCGACAAAACAATTATCCACTCTCTTTGTTTGGCTGATTCGAAAAAAAAAAAAAAATAGTGGTGAGCTGTTGCTACTCTACCGTAAAAACGCTTTTCCAGTTACTCACCTGCCAAAAATCTGCGATTAGAAAGGCAGTCTGCCCTTTTAGTATGGCTGTCCGCGGACGAGGGACAAATCGCAGGAATAGCCTACATGATGGTGACTTGACAAATGGTGCACGAATGAAAATTGCAATTTGATGTATCGTGTGAATTTGACATTATTTGGCAATTATCCTAATATGATCAGTTGATCCTAATTAAGAAATAATAATTGTTCTCTGAAACAATGTAATGAAAGGAGGATTTTATAAATAATGCCTGCTCATTTGACAATGGAAAAGGCTTGGTGGAACAGAGACTTTCCGTAGATCAGATATTACGAAATGCAGTCGCATGCTTAATTGAGAGAAGAGTAAAAGTACAGGCAAGGCTGGTGAATTGCAGACATAACTAAACCTGAGACAAAAGAAAAAGAAAATGACAAACGCAACACGTCTCAACCACAGCTGCATTTTTTTATTACATGTTAGTCGGTGGGTTGATTTTGGCAAGTGTGGGAGCGTCGAGGGCAGTTCTTTTGTTCGCCCTTGCTGACAATCTGGGGGTGTGAGACTGTGTGAGGGTTCTTGGCGTTGACTGCGGTGTACCCCTATAAAATGGTGATGTTTTAGAATGAACCTGCAGCGGTGTTCGAGACATTATGTGTGTCGTCCTCTTTTTTGTGTACTTCTTTCTCCTTCTTCCGGTGTCTCATATTTACTTATGTATGCTTAATCCATGCTCAAAGTGAAGACATGAGCTTGTGCTGGCATTGCCAACCTTGTGTGTATGGTCTATGAAAAGTGCTTAATAACTATGGTTAAGGGAGAGGAGTTTCTGCTTTCAAGAACAGCATGGGGGGAATGGAAAAGTGTCCTCACGTACAATGAATTCTCCGGGTTACCCACTCAGTCGAACGGAAGGACGTAGGATAAGCACTTCAAAATCTTTAGGATTTGCCAAGGGATTTGCCAAGTAGGGGGAGGAGAATGGCACAAAGATTTTGGGGCTTGTGTTCTTACATTTAAATTTTTTGTGCAGGAAGCTTTAAGGCCCTT